TTGTTTGTTTGTTTGTTTGCTTGGTTTTGTTTTGTTTGTTTTTACTTTAAAGGTCCATGGTTAAGGGTTTCATACCTGTTCTCAGAAACTGTGCTGCGTTCACCCTCAGCGAAATGTCCTGCTTTATTCATTTGCTTTCAACATCACTGGTTGATCCCTGGTAGAGCCTCACTTGGTAAAGTCATTACAACTCAGCCAAGTATTCTGTCACCATCCCAGAGCTTTTCCCTCTATCCATACATGGTATTTCTTTTCTATTCCTTTATGGTTCCTCAGGAGAGAAATGTGCTTTTGCTAAGGGCTTCTTTTCGAGGCCCTTGTGTGGCCACATCCCTCGAAGCCAATGCGTTTCTGATCACTCTGCTTTCAGCACAGAGGTGGAAAGATAAATTACCCAGGCTTGGCTTCAGGTACCTTAGCACCAGGCTAAGCTCCCAACACAAACAGCAGCCCTGTAAAAAAGTTGGGTCGCGTTACTCATGACCCACCACCCTAGTCATGCACCAGCTCACTATTCTGAAAAAAAAAATAAATGGTGTTTTTTTCTTTTCATGAGACGACCAGATCACTGCGGGCTGTGTGATGGTGCTACACTGGGAACATTATCTCTAGCAACACACAGAGAAACACAGAGCATACTCTGGGAGGCTTGAAAAATACTCATCTCTCTGCTGTCAGCACCCTGTGCCTCAAAAGCGGGCTACAGTAGGTGTCTGTTTGGGGATAAGCAGGCACAGGTAGGTCTGGAGGTGACTCCTAATCACCCGGTATTACCCTGCAGTCTGATAAATGTCCTTAACAAGCAGGACTGCTCATTACCACACTGATGAATCAGTGTTTGCTGACAAAAAGACCCTTTTCTCGGGGAATTCCTCATCAGCTCTAGGTGTGCCATAAGTGATTCAGGCTCTCATTAGCCCTAATTAGATAATTGTTCAAATGATTTCTCTGTTATTCGTGGAGTCTGTACCAGTGAGCACCAGCCTATCCACAGGCTGACAGGCACTTGCTGCAAAGAAATGGTGTTTTTCCAGGGTGATATTCCTGCAGGGATCACTGTGCCCATCACAGCCCTCCAGGATCTTACCCAGCTGTTGCAGTCTCTTGGGCTTATCTGATGTAAAGGCCCATGATTCAGCTGTGTAGAGGCTTTCAGCATCCCCAAATCTCTTTTTTTTGCATTACTTCTTTCCCCCAAAATTTGGTAATTCTTCAGCCATCTCCTCCAGTCACGTCCCAAGCTGCCTTCCCATCTGAGGAGGGTGAGTGTGCTCCCTTCAAGGCGAGTTTCAGTTCCTTCCAATTCATAGGAAGAAAGCAAACAGGAATCATAAAGAGGCAATATTATTTTTTATTAGCCCCAGGACTTTGATGCCCTTCTTGATGTGGATTACAGATGGCTCAGTTATTCAAAAGCACTAGCCTGGGACTACAGATCCCACTTCCAGAAACTTCAAGGTTGACCTTGGCAAAATCTCTTAGGCTGGAGTTTTTCTTGCCTGAAAACAGCCCTCTAAAAGCTCAGCCACCAGGCTCCCTCTGCAGCCAGTGGAAAAAGAGAGGCAGACACCCTTTTTTGTCCCATCTCAAATAGTATGTAAGAAAAATGGGATATGAATCGCTCTCTGGGGATGTAGTTTTTCTCTACAGAGAGGAATTGACTGCAAAGGGGTCTAACATGACAACTTTGCCCTTAACCCCTAATAGTTCAGTGATGTGAGCAAAGACAAGAATTTTAAAAATTCACAGGTCCCACATCTCAGTTTCAGAGGGAATTGAGCTGTGCAGTCTTGTAAATACGGGGTTGAGGAGCTCTGCAGTCATGCTTCTGTTTGTAAAACCCACAAGTGTTTTTTTCTGGTGAGGTTTCAAACAACCATAAGTTTTTCAGATGCTATGATGAATAGACACAACTACTCAGTCTTTATCCTCCCTACTGGTTAGAGCTGTACTGCACTGCTCGTGGTGGTTACTGCTCGCAGCAAAAGGACCACTGACCTTTCTTTGTGAATGGATCCTGGAGAATTCCAGGCCATAAGAGACGTTCCAGTCTCCTTTGTGTGGATCCACTGCAGCTATTTGAGCCCACCTCAACCCTTGGAATTATTTTGAGAGGACTTCTAGAAGAACACGAGCAAACGAACAAAACAGGCAACATGGAATAGAATCATGGAATTATTAAGGTTGGAAAAGTCCTCTAGGATCATCGAGTCCAACCATTAACCTAGCACTGCAATCCCACCCCCAACCCGTGTCCCCAAGTGCAACATCCACAAGCCCTTTGATCACTCCTAGGGATGGTAATTCTACCACTGCCCTGGGAAGACTGTTTCAATGTTGGCCAAAGAACCATCTCTGATACCAGACACATTTGCTAAATATGACTATTAAGTTCTGGAGGGAAAGCAACCTTAAGGACAGCCTGATATTGCTCTGGAGTCTCTACTCTGCTTGTGCTGTTGACTTCAGGCCTTGTGTCCCTCACAAAAATTACTGGTTACCTGTCTAGAGCACCCAGGTTGAACTGTCCACGGGAACAGCAGTGAGTTGAAGTGGGCTGACTTTCATCTGAAGGTGCCCAGAGCTACACTGACTATCAGGAAACCCAGAGCAATGATGCATCTTACAGAGGCCCAGCCTCCGTGGGATGTATCTACACAAAAATATCTGTTTTTCCAGCAGGACCTGGCCTCTTCCTATCTCGGAGGGATGCATATTCCCAATATCTGACCATTGTATATTCCCTCAGCCTAGAAGACACAGTGGAGGAGAAGGGTAACTCCTGCTCAGTGTTCCCTACACCAGTGTCCTCCCGTCCAGCCACAAGGAAGCAGTCAAAACTGACAGTCACCAAGGCTGCCTTAAACTGAAACAAGGGATTGGACTCAGTTTATGGGAAGAATCAGATCACAGGCAGGAGAAAACCAAGAGGGGCAATAAAACCACTGCACCCCTCTGCTTCTGCTCCTTGCTTGTTCCTGCATTGAGTGCAGCTGTGCAGAACCTGGGAACTCTGCTGTTTACAACCCCCTGAGACACTCACAAGCAAGGACTGGATCAATTCTCCTATGAAGGCAGTCTGGAAGAGTTGGTGTTATTCAGCCTGGAACAGATTCTGAGGAGACTTTAGAGCCCCTTCCAGTGCCTAAAAGGGTTCCAAGAGAGCTGGAGAGGGATTTTGAGCAAGGGCCTGGAGTGACAGAACAAGGAGGAGTGATTTTAAACTAAAAGAGAAGAGATTTAGGTTTGATATAAGGAAAAATTCTTGGCTGTGAAGATGGTGAGGACCTGGCACAGGTTGCCCAGAGAAGCTGTGGCTGCCCCAGCCTTGCAAGTGTCCAAGGCCAGGTTGGATGGGGCTTGGAGCAACCTGGTCTATTGGAAGGTGTCCCTGTCCATGGCAGAGGGGTTGAAATGTGTTGTTCTTTCACATCCCTTCCAATCCAAACCATTCTCTGATTCAAGGTTTGGAGTCTCCTTGCACAACCGCATCTCTTGCTTTAGACCACTCAAAACCTTCTGTGATTCTCCTCCGACAGGATCACGCAAACTGAGTGATGCTTAGGCTTAGTTTACACACCTCCACATAGCAACAACACCTCTTGCCGGCACATCCCTCCCCAGGCTGGTGCTGAGGTCATCCCGAAGGCTCTCGCTGCCGTGGGGACGAGCTGCCAGCAGGGAGAGCCAGAGCACTGGGGAACAGGCGCTGCGCGACGCGCTGCCAGGGGTGAAGGGAAAGCAGCTTTTGATGCTCAAGGACCTTCTTAGGAGGGCATTCTGAGCCACAGATCTTCTTACCATCCGCCTGTCGGTGTTCGTCTCTGCAGAACAGCCTTCCCAGCAGCCGAGCATCCCTTCCCAGCCCGTTCTGCTGCTGCCGCAGGCGTTAACGCTGACAGCCTGTCTGAGCTACCCAAAAACAGCCTCCCACCAGAAGATGGTGCCCATATTCCACGGAACTGGGGGCAAGCCCTTCACGATGCAGTCCACTTTGGGGCTAGAAGAAACTCAGTCGCACTTTTCCAAAACCATTAGAGCAAAACCCACAGCTGATGCCAGACTCCCTCAGGCAGCAGGGAGGCAGTTTTGCAGGTGTGACTCGCAGTGTAGCAGTATTTTATGAACAAACAAAACAGGCAACATGGAATAGAACCATAGAATTGTTAAGGTTCTGCAGTGTAGTGTATTTTCTCTTTAGAGTTTATATTGTAATGGACTTTTAATGAACGAAGCCCTGCAACTGTAATTGTGAGATTAATAAACCCCTACCCCGATGAATATTCACCTGCTAACTAAAATACACACAGCCCTGAGCCAGGGTGCTTATCTTTGTCTAAAGCCACATGTGGATACTGATTTCTGTGCAATACTTTGATGTTACCCCGGGTTGCTCTCAATAGTCCATCAAAGGCAGATGTGGAATGAGGGGTGATATATGAAGGCACCAGCTCAAAACATCAAAAGGGATACATACTTCAACCTCTCCTCTAGTATTTTCTTGTCCCCTGCTCTCTGCTTCTGTACTGGCAATTTGCATTGCTTCCCTCCAGCTCTCTGCTGGCCAAACATCAGCAGTCTCCCTCCTCAGTAGCTGTCAGAGCAGCTATACTCAGCCAAGCATGGTGAGCACACAGGTACCACTCAGTTGCTTGGCAAATGTCATGTCCCCTGTCAAAGCAGCAGCTTGTCATGGGCTGCAAAAGGAGCTGGAGTGATGGTGGGATGCTGCAGGGCACCAGGGCCACATCCCTCTTTTCCCCTGCAGCTCTGTGTCGCAGCTCCATGACAGCAGCCGGTCACTGCCTGGCCCACATCCCCAAGAGCAGACACCACTGCCCTGGGCAGCAGCAGCACACACCACTCTCAGCAGTGGATCAGGCAGATCCCTTCTCCATAGACATCCCATCTTCAGAAAAAAGATATCACCACGGGGTTCTGAAGGTTGTCAGGGCGCAACCCAAAAGGTTTTTCTAACACATCATCTCTCTGATTTCCAGCTGATTTTCACCTTCACCCAAAAAAGATGGAGCTCGGTGAGATCGTTGTGACTGAACGTTCCAGTGAGAGGCAGATGTACAAGAGGCGGGTGCCAAGAGCCCAGGACCTGCTGTGGAGAAGCAGAAACTGGATCCACCAAGTTTTTGGGTATCTCACAGGAGAAATGAAAGAATATGGAGAGTGGATGAAAAGTAAGGACAAAGATGTGTTTGGGGCTCTCTGGTTGGGGACATCTCTGTTGCCAACAGTACTTTCAGCGCTGGGGCACGACATGAGAGTCTGTTTCACTCCCTGAGGCAGAGCAGAAGCAGCATGTTCCAAGCTCATTGCAAACTTCTGGCTTCTTCCTTATTCTCAGGAAGGAAATCCCACTGCATCCTCTTTCCACCACCATGGCTGCATGCAAAATTCAGCACAGGCCAAAGACATCTTTTACACTTAATGAGTTATGTGTCATTAGCATCATGTTCCTTATAGCAGTGCCCAGAATCACACGTCAGGGCCAGGGATCGAGTCTCGTTTGTAACTGCTCTGGACCAGCCACTGTTCCTCATCCACACGGGAATCGTGGGGGCAAAGGCTCTTGTGTTACCAGCTGTGGGGCAGCAATAGGCACTGTGGGTGTTATGATGCTATAAAACGCAAACTGAGACTGATCTCAAAGGTTCAATGTCCAGACAGGAACAATGCATGAGCAGATGGTCCCTGTTACCCAGAATTACCAGGAATGTGGGGTTTTGAGAGGCTATATAAGACTGTGGGTCCCCTATCAGGGCTAGGTTTGTTAGCAGAGCAACTGCAGCAGTGGAAGAGAAATAAGTGCACAGACAAGCTGCACAGCAGCTATCACTGGTGAAGAAGTTGGGATGAAATGCTCCAGACAGGCTCATCAGGCTGCAGTGTGTGTGATTCCCAGACACGGGGAAACATCTCCTCCTGTTTCTCTTTGCTACAGCAGTCCATGTGTTTTAGACAGCTTTTCTTACTCAATATTTTGAAAACATTTGGCCACTGTCCTCTGGTTATATTTGAATTTTTATGGTTAATACTTGTGTCTGAATCTGAGCACATTGCTGGTAAGTGTTTCACAGCTCAATACCAAATAGGAATTAAAATTAATTCAGACAAGTCTGGTCATTTTTCTCTTAGGAACTCATTCCTACTCCTCCTCATTCCTACTCCTTAACCCTGTCTGGAAAGAGTTTTTTAGGAATAAGTCATTGCCCATAATCAAAAAGTAGCCTGACACTTAATCCTGTGTCTAATTAACAATCTAAGCTAACAGAATTAATTTCAAATCTTTAGGAAGATGAGAGCTGCATACACACATTGCATGAACATTTTGTACATGCAAGCTCCTCTTTCTCACCTATTCTGCTTGCACCTATTCTCCTGCTGTGTGTTTAATAACGCACAGCAGTTCAGAAGTGGTTACAGTTTTCCCAGAAGAGAGGAAGAAAAAAAAATTCTAGCCAAGTACCAGCAGCAACATTTATTGCACTCTACAAGTCCCTCCTCTGCCCCAGGAGATTATTAGAAGCGCTGTACATAGATGCCCTCAGACAGGCTGCCCCCATCCCACCTTCCCCTTGCACTCACCTGGGGCACCTGAGCTTGGTGCCCTTGTTTGCTCTGTCCAGGTTCAATAGCCTTCCCTAAAGAACAATAACTCTTTGTTCTTTGAAAGTGCCTCTTTGCCATAAATACAGTCCAAGTTATAATAACTATTTTCTTAATTTAGCTTCTTTAGCTCTCAAAATACTTTTTAGACACCTTTGACCCCCTCTCCTATATACAGTGTACCACCATGTTCTCAGTTGCTGATTTTCTTCCTAAGACAGTAAAATTGTTTCCTTTTCATATTTCCCTGTCTACATATAAACCAGTTTCAGAGTCCCTCTCTGCATCTGAATTATACACCAAAAAAGGCCTGTTTCGTCATTAAACTTATAGCAGAATATAATGTGATCTACCATGCAAGCAGTTGTTTGACTATTTTTGATCGCCATAAATAAATCACTTTTTTATCAATCCCTCCACGAATCTTATAGCAGTGCCCAGTCCATCCCTATTAGTTTTCAAGTGCCAGATGCAAAATACACTGAGATAACAATGAATCAGAGAGTGGCTTTGCAGTTTCCCCTGTTAATACCTCACCTCTGTTCCGTGGCCAGAAGGCAGCTGCAGGGATGAGTGTGCTTTGCTAAAATGATGCCTTACCAACAGCATTCTCCTTTGATCTCCTCCAGACAAGCCCTTAATGGTTCAGCTGGTGGACTGGATCTTGCGAGGGACCTCTCAGGTGATGTTTGTCAACAACCCCCTCAGCGGGCTGATCATTTTGGTGGGGCTTTTCCTCCAGAGTCCCTGGTGGATGCTCACAGGCTGCACTGGAACTGCTGTGTCCACATTGACTGCACTGGCTCTCAGTCAGGACAGGTAGGTGGTACCTCACATCCTTATACACTTAGTAAAAACTGGTTCGTTGTAACATCTGGAGCCCACTGATGGCTCGTAGCCACTTGTTCAGGACAGCAGACCAGCTTTCCTTACAGGTGGTTTGGAAGCAGCTGGGTGAGGACAGAGCTGTGCTCCAGGAAGAACTAGCCTATCCCCACAACTGTCTGTCTTCATGAAAACAGATGGTTAACTCTCTCTGATAGCAACTGTCACAACCACGCAGCTCCTACAGGTCACTAAGGAGCACCCTAGACCCCCCCCCATCCTCCAAAAATTCCCAAACTCTCCCCGTCCACACGCCAGTGAGAGACAGTACATCAACAATCTCACTGCTTTTTTTATCCCTCCCTTCACTGGGAGCAGGGCACTTACAAACTGCATCTCCAGCATGTCTTGCTACCTTGCAGACGTTTATCTCCATCACAGGTCAGCCATCACAGCTGGGCTGCACGGCTACAACGGGATGCTGGTGGGATTGCTCATGGCTGTCTACTCCAGCAAAGGGGATTACTACTGGTGGCTTCTCCCTCCTGTGGCAGTTATATCAATGGCCTGGTAAGTACCCCTGCTCCTAAGGACAATTCTCAAGGAGAGAGTCCGGCTATAAACAGCTTGAACACAACGAAGTCCCCTCTGCCCTACACCAGTAACTCCTGCAGTGGGTGGCAGTGGAATGATGTGCTCATCCACACGCGGAGCTCCCGAGGGATGTGGCAGGAGCTGAGGGCACAGACAACACTGATTACAGCACGTTGATAAAGCAGCCTGATGCCTTAAGCCCCTAATGGTTTTTTATTTTTCTAATATTGGTAAGCCTTATAGGTTTTATAAGTAGATTTTAAAAGCAGCAACCCTCCCTCCTTTGTCCCTCGTCCCTTATCCCTTTCCCTCTAGCACCCTTGTTTACACATTCCTTAACCCTCTTACCCCATTCTATGCTCCCTATATCAATCCTACTCCTGAAACCAGTAGAAATGTTTAGTCTTTTGTCAAGGCAAGGCCTAGATTGTTGGCAGAACAGCATATCAGGGCCTAAACCACAGAACACAGTCAAAAACTGGGTAACTATGTACCCTTTGTGCTCTGAGGGAGATGAAGGTGGGATGAATAGGGGGTCCCAAAAAGCCCCCGACCCATTTTCAGGGGGTGGACCCGGGGTGGACCAGAGTAAAGGCCACAGGGTGGACACGTCTGGGATTGGATGGATGGTGTTATAAAATGCGACATCTCGGGCATGGCCGGCGTGCGTCGTGTAACATCTACTGCCTTGGCAAAATAAACCCTTTCTTATCTCACCCCTAATTAACTGCTCTGGAGATTTTTTCAGCACTTAAATCCCACGGCAACAAGCCCCACCCCAATTCTCCAAAAATATCCCTCAGGAACCAGACACATTCGGGGTGGAGGTCATGGTGCCCAACACCACAGTGGTTCTTCCACACCCAGGTGCTGAACCGACCCTGTGCTCTCCCTCGGGCTGAATTCAATATTCCCCTTCACAGACATGCAACCAGTCACGAGCAAAATTAATTCCTCCAAGCAACTCCAAACGCCAGACTATGTCCTTCCAGGATTAAATTTTCCATTTTTAAACATGGACCCTAACAGCACTGCAGAATCTATTTAACAGCCTTAGCTGAAATTAATTTGTCACATTTTAATCACTGTAAGCAATAAGATGCAAGTCATTATTGGATTTCACTGCTTTTAAGATCAGATTATTTTTTTTAATATATTTCATTTTTTTAGTCTCTCTCAGCAAAGGTCATTTTATAACAATCTCTCAAAACCCAGTGCATGCTGTGAGAATGTTTAGCTTGTCTTATCTGCCAGAATTCCTTGAGGCTTTTTGTTCAAACTTTTCTTCATTCTTTTAGTTCACAAGACTCGAGGGTAGAGCTGAAAGATTTTAAAATTAGACAGTTCAGTGATGTTTTAACTGATATTTTGAATTTCAGCTTTAGAAGTCAGCATTTCTTTAATTGTTTCCTTTTTTCCTGACAAGATGTATAAGTGGCAGAAGCTTTGTATTTCAGCACAAAAATTAGGACACCATTTTCACTGAAGTACTGATTTTTTTTTTTCCTACAGCTAGAAGCAATAAATCTGTAAAGTCCTTTGGGAACCAAATTTGTCAAAAAGAAAAAAATAGTCTTCATCTGAGATTATACAAGGAGAACAAAGCATTTTTCCCACTGATAGCATCTACACAGCAGGACACAAGATGTTGCTTTTGAAATGCCAAATAGTTTGGGTGGGGTGGGGGTTTTTTATTATAACCAGCTTAATGACCTTCTAGGACTCAAATGCAGCTTCTTGAAAAAATTAAGTCTTTAAACTGATTTTTTGCAAACTATGCAATGTCCACTTCTGCTTGGAGTGGACCATAAAAGCTATTCAGTTCACTTGTATCAGAGGAGCTCAGCTGAAAGCAGCAGAACAGAGGCCATTTCCATCAAGGACAGGACCTGGCCATTTGCTCTCTTCCACAAGATTTCTGGGCCCCATAAAAATGATATATTACCCTGCCAATATGATCCCATAAAGTCCATCACGTAGGACACACACTTTAAGCGGAAATCCAGCAGTCCTGAAAATGATCCTGAGATCTGGCAAAGTTTGTGTTCCAAGTTCTACAGACAAGAACTTTGGAAAAGGTCATGGCACTTCAAGGTTTGAATGCTTTTTAGCGTTCTGTCAATAACAGGTTGAGGGTCACTCCAAACACTTTAATGTTGAATACATTCAATCAAGCTCTTTTTAAAGACAAATCTCAGGTTTCAGCAAATGCCACGTGATTTTGGATAGCACCTGGGCAGCACGCAGTAACATCACTCGAACATCAGTCAAGGTCTGGGTGATGTCTGGCACCAACATCTTTCACAGCTCTGTTACACTGGTGACTTCATCTTACACTCTCTGTAAGACTCTGAGGAGTCCTAAGGACTCCTCACTCCCCAAAAACAGTGTCTAACATGATAAATATTTCTGTGTTCCTTAGTGGAAGATTTTCCGTCCTCCTTGGTCACCTCTTCTGCTTTATTTCTCTTCCAGAGTCATCTTCTGATATCCTTCACACCATTTAAACAAAAACAAAACAAACAAACAAAAAAAAAGGCAAATTAGGTAATTTCCAGCTCCCTCTTGCCTCCTCAAGACAGCAGCTTTTTTAGACCACCTAAAGTTCTCCACAGTCTTTCACGTGGCATTCCCAAAATTGGCTCTTCTGTTTCCTGCTGAAATTTTCTCCTGAATAAGAAGTCAGATTACCTGTCTCCACCCGCATCTAAATGCTGTATTAGATGTATTTCTTTGCTGATTCCCTGAGCTCAGCACACCTACCAGAGGAGCTGTCCTGAGAGAAGGGTGTGCAGTTTGCACCATCCATGAATGGATTAGATAGTTTTTTCAGAAAGATGAACAGCATTCTGCAACTCTTTGTCTGATGCAGACTAACATATTAAGGTATTCACTACCTGATATTTCTAAATGTTCCACCACTATAATTGTTCCACCTGTTCCACCCTATAATTGTTATGCAAAATTTATATTCATGTCTCTTCTCCTCTTCTCAGCCCTGTCCTGTCCAGTGCTTTGGGATCCATCTTCAGCAAATGGGACCTTCCTGTTTTCACTCTGCCCTTCAACATTGCAGTGACTCTCTACTTGGCAGCCACGGGACACTACAACCCCTTCTTCCCCACCACCCTCATCAAGCCTATAGCTGCAGTGCCCAACATCACCTGGTCTGCAATCAGTGTGCCACTGGTAAGCTTCCCACCAACAGATCCATGATATTTCACAGAAAGGTGAGCATGAAGGCATTCACTTCTGGACAACACTTTCACGTGGGTCAGAATGACTACGGTATGTACAGCCAGGATAATTCACAGAAACATCATTCAGTGCAAAGAGACCAGTGCCATAAGATTCCCAGGGACAGTCCTGGCTGATCCAGAAGAAAGGCTGGTGGAGCCTGAGGGAACAGAGAACCCGAGCTTTTCACTCCACCTAAACTCGGACTGCCCCAAAACAAGTCTCTCACATGCTGTCAATGCAGAAGCACATGTGGACAGGCCCTCCTGCTGTCCAGTTCGGGTTAAAAACACATCAGCAAGACAGTAAGTGGCAACACGAAAATTCAGAGGAAACATCAGGATTCCAAAGCGACAGAAACTCATTTACACCCAGGTCTAGATCTGGAGGGTCACCTTCTCACAACAGCACAAGGGTAACTGACCCAAAGGGTAGTGATCAACAGCTCAGAGAACTTGTGGACATTAGAGACAAGTGGAAACCAGTGCTTTCAATATCTTCATTAGTAACACAGACAGAGGGATCGAGTGCACCCTCGCACACTTGCTGACAACACCAAGCTGAGGGTGCAAGTGACACATCTGAAGGACAGGACCATCCAGAGGGACCTGGAGAAGCTTGAGAAGTGGCCCATGAGGTTTAACAAAACCAAGTGCTGGTGTTGCACCGGGTCAGGGCAACTCCTGGGATCAGTCCAGGCCGTGGATGAAACAGATGGAGCAGCCCTGGAGAGAAAGACTTGGGAATTCTGGTGGGGGAGAGGGTGGACATGACCAGAAACCCCCCGTGCCCTGGGCTGATCCCACAGTGTGGGCAGCAGGGGAGGGGGGGGATTCTGCCCCTCTACCCCCTCAGGTGAGACCCCCTTGCAGAGCTGCCTCCAGCTCTGGGGGCCGAGCACAGGAATGACATGGACATTGGAGCAAGTTCAGAGGAGGCATCAAGTTAATTAGAAGGATGGAGCACCTCTTGTACAAGAAAAGGCTGAGACAACTGGGATTGTTCAGCCTGGAGAAGAGAAGGCTTTGGGCCAACCTAATTGTGGCCTTCCAGTACCTAAAGGGAGCCTACAAGGAAGAGGGAGAGGGACTTTGAACAAGAACAGGTGGCGACAGGAAAAGGGACAATGGCTTCACGCTGAAAGAGAGTAGGTTTAGATCAGGTATTAGAAAAAAATTCTTGACTGTGAGACTGGTGAGGCACTGGAATAGATTGCCAGCTGTCCCACCCTGGAAGTGTTCAAGGTCAGGTGGAACAGGCCTTGGAGCAACCTGGGATAAAGGAAGGTGTCCCTGCCCATGGCAAGGGATTGGAATGAGATGATCTTTGAGGTCCCTTCCAACCCAAACTGTTCTATGACTCCATGATTTACTCACAGTCCAACTCAGAGCCGGGGTTCCTTCCTTTCCATTTCAGCCAATAGCTTGGAAAAAATAACATCTGTGTCATTCAGGGTACAGAGAGACAATAACATGTCCTTTTCTACCATCTGCTGCAGCTCCTACAATCCATCCCAGTTGGAGTTGGGCAAGTGTATGGTTGTGGAAACCCCTGGACCGGAGGCATTTTCCTTGTGGCTTTGCTTATCTCCTCCCCACTGATTTGTTTACATGCTGCAATTGGATCGACAGTGGGGATGATTGCAGGTAAGAAATATTCACCAAAGTCATTTTTACAACCAAGATATCTTGATCCAAGTCATTACGTGACTCTGTCTAGGCTTTACAGTTGTGTGTGCTCGTAGGTAATTGGGGAAACATTCCTTTTTCAACTGCCTCTAAATTTGGAAGCTGTCACTGAAGGTCACACAACACAGTGAAGGCAAGAACAGAACAAGGTTTTCTTTGAGCTTTGAATTTGTTAATAGATTTTTAACTCAGGCAGGGGGTTTGTTCCACCTTGCTTAACCCTCTAGCCACTGGGTGTGATGAATCCCATAGAGATGATCTTAAAGAAACCTAGAAAAAGAGTTTCAGCGCTGATCTCTTGCCTCCACAATTGTTTTAAATTACCACCATAAGCAGATGTCTGCCACAGAGCTGATCAGCCAAGGCAAAGAAAAAGACTTTTCTAGATGCAATGTGCTCTATCCTGCTGTGGATTTGTAAAAATAGCTAAATGAATGCTACTAAAAATGGCCTCTGTCTCCACTAACCAGAGAAACAATATTAAGTTAGGAAACATGAACGTGACCTTTGAAGTTTAGACAACATTAATACCACTCAAATGATCAATGGTAATAAAAACAGAGGATGGAATAGGTGTAGTCTGAGACAACAACTTCAGAAAAGGCACAGTCGTCCAACAAGTTCTCTGTGCTTTGAAGCACTTTGTACAAGACTGGAGCTGCCTTATATCAGTGTTTTTAAACAAAACTGTCCAAATTTTGTATGCCTAGGAGCATATGGCAGGTCTTGTACAGGTCTGACATTTAACCTGGAAGAGAAAGGTCAAGGGAAAGTATCTGGGGATAAACATGGTGATGAAACAGAGGACAGATCAGGACAAAACAGCGGGAAATGCATTAATCTTATGAGTGGCATGAAGGTGGCCTGTGCACTACATATTGTGCTCTCCTTTTGGCTGGGACTGCTGAAGCCTGTGAGGAATCCTGCAAAAGTTTCTATGAGGTCAGATTTGGAGCAGACCATCAGCTCCCATCCCTGTGGAGAATTTCCACAGCACTGATGAAGTGACCACCTCTAGCAAGTAGACCGCATCTAGCAAAGGTCACTAGGAAGAGATGGAAAAACCGTGCTTACTCCAACAAAAGACATGCAGTTGTGCCTCTGATATCCAGGATCAGGGTATGTATGAGGTTTAAACAGTATGTGTGAGCACAGCTTTCTGAAAGGAGGACACCCAGGGGAGAAGGTTCTCGTGGCTGGACCCTCCAACAGGTCATCTGGGGGAACAACTACAACACGCTCAGTGCATGCACAGAAAGTTTTGCCTAAATTAAGCCTTTGAGACTGGGCCAAATTCCAACCCTAGGTACACTATCAGAGATCCAAAATAATGACCTTCCTTTTTCTGCATGTGCACACTGCAAACAGGAGCACAGATAAATTCATCTAGACATCAAGAGGGAAGAGATGACAGATCCCCAGAAAGGGACGGGTCCTCCTGCAGACACCTCTCGTACCTGACCTCCCAGCCTTGCCTTTTGTCTTGCAGCACTGAGCATTGCATCCCCATTTGACAGCATCTACCTGGGCTTACACAATTACAACTGTGCCCTGGCCTGCATCGCGGTCGGGGGGATGTTCTACGCCCTGACCTGGCAGACGCATCTGCTGTCACTCGCCTGTGGTGAGTACCTCTTACATAAAGGGAAGCCAAAAATTTGTGCAGCCAAGGCAGCCTATGAGTAGTGCAGGTTTAGGGTCAGCTACCAAACCTAGGCACTGTGCAAGAGCTGTTTCTCTGGTGGCAGCAGCGTTGAGCCTGAATGTGCAAGTGAGAGTACAGAGAGAACAGCATTAGACCCTGATAACATAGAAACATCTGGAAAGGGTGGAAATACCATTCGTGAAAGGGACATAAGCTATTCCACAACAGATTCACAAAAGCAGCCTTTTCATAACTATAGGTATCATTAGAGGAAGCGTGCCATAAGAAGAGAGCTGTTGCAGAAGGTCAGTTTAAAATCCATCTACACAAGCACCCCGTCTCCAACAGCAGCCAAAACCAGGCACTATGGGAAGAACTTAATAAAAGAAATTTCCCATTTAAGGGATTCCATAGATTCACCCAGCCTCCAATTATCTTCATTTCAGTAGTTTCTGGCCTGAGCACAGTTTCTAGATTGGTCAGTAGCTTTTCCTTCCTTAACTTAGTCGTTGGTTGCCCGACCTTTGCTCCTGTTTTCCCACCTCTGGCATCCAGGGACAAGGAGACCCACTGCTGACTGCCTGTGGTGTGAAGGCACAAGACAGAGAATTTCAGCAGTCCCACACTTCTGAAGAATTTCTGCAATTCCCTCTGCATATGGGTCAAGTCATGTCAAGTAAAAAGTAATTAAAGACAAAAGAAATGCCACCATCGCTTGCAAAGTGATGACAAAACAGAGTTCTTCATTCACCATCCATCTCTACAGAGCACAGAGGATGAAATGTAGTCACAGAATTGTTTGGGTTGAAATCTATCTTTAAGACCATTGAGTACAACTATTCCCCCCAGCACTGCCAAGGCCACCACTCACCCATGTCCCCAAGTGCCACATCCACAGGGCTTTTAAATCTCTCCAGGGATGGGGACTCCACCACTGCCCTGGGCAGCTGTGCCAGGGATGGATGACACTTTCTGTGAAGAAAGTTTCCCTAATATCTAATCTAAACCTCCCCCTGGTGCATCTTGAGGCTGTTTCCTCTTGTCTTATCACATGTTACCTGGGAGAAGAGATCACAACTTTGGGACATTTCAACTAATTGTTGAATTGTAGAATCAATCCTCACACCAGGTAGCTGGCAGGGTATTTTACCGTGCGTTTGGACAGTGCTACTGTGTGTGATAATTTCTTTGGAGAATTGAACAATAATTTCTTCATCCTGAGCTCTCTTTGGTCTTCTTTTCTCAGCATTATTTTGTGCCTACTCCGGAGCAGCTCTTGCTAATGCCCTCTCTGTGGTAAGTTTGGGCCCTTGTTTTATAATTAGGGGGGTTTTTTATTTGTTTGTTTGAGCCATGTTTTGTTTTTTTCTGAAATAATGTTGAGGAAATCCCTCAGAATTCTCTATGTCACCTTTGACAGCATTGAAATGAGAATGCTGCAGCCGATGACAGGTCTTGTACAAACTCTGTGTCAGCTGAATTTTGCCCTTGGAGACTCTATAGCTGATAATAAGATTTCAAAGACCTTTGTATCATGTTATCCACAGCAGGGTTGTGCATGTGTATGTGAGTTCCAGCAACAGCATATGGTTTGAGATTAAATGTTTAGTTGAGCAATATCTTTTAGCAATTCCCAATGGTCTAAATTTTCACTTTCTTCTTCCAAGGTCTTTCTACAACTACCCCTACAGACATTATTAAAGTTTGAACTGGATGTAAGAACTAAAATGAGGGAGAGACTGTTCTCTTAAGTACAAAGTTATTATATTTGGACAAATCAAGAAAGGGGTGAAGCCAGAAATGCCAGGCTTTGTTTCTTCTTTAAGATCTGAGAGATTAAAGCAAAACCATACTTTAATAAAATTGATTTACTAACTTAAAAGAAAATAAAGAATAAAACTAGCAGCTTCGTGCAATAAATGTACTCATCTGGCACCCACTCAGTACCATGTAGGTCCCTGCAGATGGGCTGCTTTAAGCACACCTTCTTTTGGGATGCATCAGGGAAAAAGGACATCCACTTTTTCTCCTTGTGATCTTGCTTTTGGCAGACATCAGGTCATGTCAAGAGGTGGGGAAACAGAGAAGGATTGGGGGTTGGATGTAATGCCAGTGACACACAGTTGTTGAGGAGAGTGAGTGAATAACACTCTCAATACATGACATTTTATAGAGCGGAGAGGGTAGAATTTGGCTCTTTTATTAGAGAATTTATATGTCCACCAGTGAGATGGGTGTCTTGACTTTCATTGCAGTCATCAGAGCTCTGGAGCCTGATTCAGTTGCTTCAATATTGGTGTCAGGTGCCATCCAGCACCAAGAGCTGCACCTCCAAAAGGACTGAGGTCTTCAGTGTCTGCTGCTTTGTGTAGCCCCGCACACTCCAGACAAATTAGATACCTCCATGTGAGCAGCTGAGTTGACATCTGGTAGCAAAGGAGTTTCCCAGACTTCCACTGACCAGAAGGAACCTTGCTCACACGTAGCCTCCACCGCCTGCATCTCTGGATTCAGACAGGAGAATTCTGTATTGGGGGTGGGTCAGGAATACACATCCTATTACACCCTGCCCTCAGGGAAACCTCTCCCAACTCCTCAAATGCAAGAATTTAGCCACAGGCAGACATAAGAGGGAAAAAGTAAAAAGCAGTACCAAAATCACCTCTGTGCCTGTTTTCTCTCCCCCCAGCTCGGGCTGCCAGTCTGCACCTGGCCTTTCTGCCTGTCCGCGCTCCTCTTCCTGCTGATGAACTCGGAAAACCCAGCCATCTACAAAATCCCCCTCTCCAAAGTCACCTACCCAGAAGCCAACCGGATCTACTACCTGAGGATGAGGAGAAGGGCCTCGGAGAGCAGGAGAGAGGAGCAGAAGCGGAAGGAGCAGAAGCCCCCCGACAACTCAAAAATAAGCACGGGAGGCACCCCCCTGTGCACCCCCAAGAGCCGCCACGCCCACTGATTCCAAGCATCCACAACTGCACAGTTTTGGGGCAGCTTTCCAGACGTCATCCCAGCACACAACACAGCCACAAACACCACCTTTGCCAGCGGTCTGCAGGCTGGGGATTCAGCATTCCACAGTCCAGAGGGAACACGGTTTTGCCCTTGAGCTAAGCTTTACAAAAAGCACTCAGGTAACATAATAACAGCTGCCTTATCAATCCACATGCTGTTAACTTGGAAGTGACCTCTTATCAATAATAATTATAAGAGTAGGCAGAAGAACATTAAAGATGACAGGAGGCTGTGTTTAATTTCAGAGGTGTAATTTAACAAAATAAGTATGCTGAGAAGGCATTGGTGTCTAATAATAATAAATAATGTAAGAACTACGTCAAGAGCTGCACTTCAAATTAAGAACATGTGTATTTGAAAGTGGAATAAACAGACTGATCTCTTCCTCTCTTGTGTCCCATCAATGTCTAACCCTTTTAGTACCTCTTAAGAGCTGCAACACACACAAGTAAATATTCTTACGGCTTGCATAGCATTTTTGGTGCCATCTCCTGGCTCCTTGTTAAGTGAAGGTCTGAATATATATGCTTTAATCAGACTGGAAAAGAGAGTAGCTAGAAATGATCAAACATTCTTCTTTTCCTTGAATAATTTTCTATCTTACAAATAGATCTCTTTCCTGCTGACTGCAGGATAGCAAGACAGAATCCCTACGTGCATCCAGTGGGAAATAGGAAAACTCCACGTAAAAAGTGAGATAAACATTTACTGCTGGTGGCAGTTACTGCAGTTCATTCTCTCCCTTTCCCGTGGGAGCAGATCCTTTCCATTAATCCATGAGAAATTAATAAGTCAAAGGTTCCCCTTGATGTCTTCTGGGTGTCAGATTGGAGTCTTCACATGCGTCTTCAGTGTTTCGACACTGCCAGTTTATGCCTCCTCTAAGTCCTTAAAACAGGGGAGCACCAGTTGCCCTAAGGAGGGCTTTTCTTGGGAACCTTTTCCAAAACTTCTGCAGAGGAAGCCTGCCAGAAAAGGCTTCCTCATCCTAAAGTTGTTTTAAATGATCAGTTTAAAATCGCGCACCTAGAGGACATGAAAATTTAAAATCCAAAAAGACTGTGCGAACAGAAACACTCAGATTGTGCCTTTATCACCAGAAAGCAGCAGCAGCAGCAGCATCTGCCAGCCCCTCTAAATGCCCCCTAGAAGCAGCACCCAAGATGGAATTCAACCTGGTGAACAAAACCATAGTCTTACTTATGTTCAGGTGCTTTTTGAACAGGTGAGACCATTCCAGGTAAAATTTAGGTAAAAAATTTAGGTAAAAAATTTAGATAAAAAATTTAGGTAAAAAATTTAGGTAAAAAATTTAGGTAAAATTTAGTCTTCCTCCCCTCTCTGCCAAGATACCCTTTGAGCCAGGATGCCAGCAAAACAATGGGGCAGTCTGGTATGGTAACTACAAACTGCAAGATCACGGGTGTCCCCATGTTTCTGCTGCTGTAGAGAAACAAAGAAAGGCAGAATAAGACATGAGGTGATACACAACTGCCTGAACACCTTCCCTCTATAGCAGTCAATGAAACATGAAGCAGATAGAAAGTAGTGGAACCTGTTCATATAATGACAGAATCGTGGAATGGTTTGGGGTTGAAGGGACCTTTCAAGGTTATCTGGCTCCAACCCCCTGGCCATGGGCAGGGAAACCTTCCACTAGACCAGGTTGGTCCAAGCCCCATTCAATCTGATCTTGAATGTTTCCAGGGAGGGGGTATCCACAGCTTCTCTGGGCAACCTGTGCCAGGGCCTGATCACTCTGATCAAAAAACACCTCTTTCTTATATCTAGGCATCTGCTCTGCACAGTTTAATTTAGCTCATACACAGTGAAGCATCAGAGAAAGATTTGAATAGCAGCAACACAAAGTTAGCAAAAATACTGCAAAATACTTCTAGAACCATATTTTTGAAGAAGAACCTCAACTGTGGTTAGTTATGCCCAGCATATTATTTGTTTTCTTAAAAAATAAGAGTGAAGTCCAAGCACAGTATTGGCTATTGGAAAGAATTTGTCATGTAAGTGCCACTGCAGGCATTAATTCCTCAGCCACAAGCAAATCCATCCTGAAATCAATTAGTAAAGCAATTTCTAGGGTTGAAGTCTTCCATAAAAAATAGGGTATAAACAGCTTTATTAAGTCTCTAGCTAATCAAAAGATTTGAGTAACTATAGCCAGTACTAATAATTCTTGAAAACAGGAAACACAAATCAAGTGTCTCCTGTAAGGGAGCAGCAGACAATAAATGCACTGACTGAAGTTATCAGTGGTAGCCCAGCAGCCTGCTACCTATTGAGTTCTATAACATTTTTTCATTAAGAGAAATAAAATGTACAGCCTTCAGGGAGACTAATAATTTTGAGACAGTTCCCAGAGATCTAACATAAAACAAGTAGGCCCATTAAAGAAAAAATAAAAGGCTTTTCTATAGCTGGAGTGGTCACTCCGTCCAGCTCACCTCCCACAGAAAATTAAATAAATGCTCCTGTACAAACTAACACCTGGACTGGCAGTGGCATACATAAAACCAGCCCCCTGAAAATTTGCCTTCAAAAATTAAAAAGCAGAGGCAAGTGGGAGCAGACTAAGTGACGTGAAGGAATTGCAGGAGAGCTCCCCAGGGAACAAAGAAGACAATTATGTTATAACTGGAGTCCAATGTAAATGCAGTACATATGCTATGTGGTTCTGAGAAAGATGTTTACTTTATTGCTACGAATACGTTTCTTACTCTTGTATTCACTCTATACCCCCTAAAAGTAAAAAAAAAAATAATTGTGGGTTTTTTTCTCTTTGAGAGGAGGTTCACAGCCCTTCTCCCGTGGGCATAGGGGCTTCTGTTGACAAGATCAGTCACAGAACTCACACAGAAAAACATGGGTCAAGGCCTTTAGATGTCCTGGCTTGGGTATTGGTGGCTCCAGAATGACTTATCTGTTAATCACTCCTCATGACTAATTAGCACAGCTGCGCTGAGAGAATGTGGAGGGAAGGGGTTTCTCAGTGGGCATTATTTGTAGCAGAGGTCAGAGCCATGCTGTCATACTCACTGGAGCACCCTATTTGCTGGAGCATGGTTTCCCTCCTGATTCATAGAATCATTTAAGTTGGAAAAGCCCTCTAAGATCACCACCATTCTCCCAGCACTGCCAAGGCCACCACTAACCCACATGCCCAAGTGCCACATCTATATGGGTTTTAAATCCCTCCAGGAATGGGGACTCCACCACTGCCCTGGGCAGGCTGTGCCAGGGCTGGACAACCCTTTCCATAATGAAATTTTTCCTATTGTACAATCTGAAATGTCTCCAGAGTGGCACTCCAGCAACACAGGGCCTCGCTACAAGCTGGAAAAAACAACACTCTAAAATTTGTCTGAATAAGACAAATCCCTAAAATTTCCAGCTGCTGGGAAGTTGCTCTGTGCCCCATCTGTGCCAGATATCTCCAATCTGCCACAACAGGCACATTGACCAACACCACAGACTGACTCAGGTTTCTTGTAGATCACTTTTACCAGGGTTACAGAAATACCACCACTCAGAGGGTGAGATCTATTTGCTGAACACTATCCCCTCACTTCCCCTACAACAGTTTTAATTTGGAAGATGGAAGGAGTTCAAACAGGAAACAAGCTCTTGGTTGCAGTTGATTTTACAGTTCTCAGGGGGTCTTTTACAGACTCCTGCAGCTGTTGCCACAGCTGGAATTCACACACCCCAGGAGTGGGATAAGAAGACCTGGGGAAGCAAAGACCTCTGTGGGAAGCAAAGGTTTCTTCCGCCACTTTTTGCCTGGGAATGAGTTTGGGAATCTTTTACTGCTCACTCAGCAGCTTCTGAGCACACCCAATTACCTCGATGAATTTAAGTGCCTTAAGCTCTCATGGAACTGCATCCTCACATCCTTCTCCAGGGACAGCCCTCTGCACAGAGAGTTGAGGCAGACCCAAATCCCTGCTCCAAAATGTGCAGCTTCACATGGCACAACAGGGTTGAAGCACCAAACATGTGTGGAAGCCCTTCCAAAAACATCCAGCTACATCACCCACCCAAAATGCACAGGTTTTCGGGCTGCTTAGCACGTCTCAGCATCTGCAGATTAAACTGTGCTGTGCACTGAATTGCAAAAGGCAAAGACAGAGAGACAAAGGCATCCTTGACCTGTGTAACTTAGGATGATCTGGAGCCTTTTTTCCCCTGCACATCCCAGCCTGCACCTGACCTTGCTTCTCCACACTTCCCTCACTTCAGCTTAGTGCTGACAGCTCTGTTGCTCTATCATCCACAAATCTCTGCTCTGCAAAACCACTCAGCCAGAAATCAGGCAAAGACATCCTGGCTGTGGAGGAAACCAAAAAGGCAAAGGTGATGACAAACCGTCAGCCAACAATGGTTTCTTACTGTAGTCAAGTGAGTTTATTTCACTTGTGCAAATTAAATCACGTTTAGGCCATTTTCCCTTCCCAGAAATTGAGTTATTCTACACATATGACTTTTCTTTTTTCTTTTGTCTACTGCAAAATGTGCATCTTTACTGCAAATGGGTTTATGCCTGGGCGTGCATGTGCATGAAAATGTTGCTCCGTAGTACTGCTTTCAAGATCCCATAACCAGCCACGGCCAGTGAAACTTTTCCTCTATCCTATTATTTTCAATAAGTAATTTCAACTATTTATTTTCAATTTTTTCCACTGTTTGATTGTTCATTTCTGGATGCCAGCAGTCCTCTTTCTCTCGTTGATCAGATCTGCAACCCATGCTTATGTACAGCATCTGCCACTTCTGTTAAGAACTACTTGGCAAGAAAATAGTAGTCACTGGGATTTATAGGCTGAAAGAGCTTCTTGTTGGAAGTATTATAATATTCTGCTCTCTGCTAAGGCCTAACACATTCATCTCCTAAAATGTATAGGCTTGTGAGAATGCATTATTCCCTCAAGAGAAGGCACACCCTGGGTGAGAGTCACAACCCTATCATCAGGCCAAAAGATGCAGGAAGGGCAGGAAACCTTATTAAGCTGAGAATAGATGCAGGGAAGTTGAGGGAATTGACTCTGAAAATGCAAAAGTGAATGCAGAAGCAGAAAAACACCTTGCCTTGTGCCATAGAAATGAGGCAAGTCATCCCCTTTGTCATTCTTGTGGGGATCCTGCTGCCTTGAGGTGGGTTTGGACAAAGAGCCCCTTTGGATCTGTGTATTTCCCTGGAGCCAGGACAACAGGAGAGGGGGTTGAAGATGAAATTTAGAATTGTTTCAGTTTCAGTTTCCACTCTGTACTGAAATACAGCAGCACAGTCAACCTCAGTCTTCCAAACCCCTCTAGTATATTAGGTTGTTTCAGTGT